GTGTGTGTGTGTGTGATAAAAAACTGAACTGAACAACTTTTTTCTGATGGTCTTTTTTGCTTTTAATTCTCAAGTTGGTCAACTTGAACACAATTATCAGATCATTATTTTCATGTCCAAACAGGATGGCAGTTTAAAAACACAAGTATAACAGTGAAACAATCTCTTTAGAGCAACAGAAACCCATATGAAACAGCTCAGAGCACACACACAATGAACACAAGTTAAATCTGCATCTCAGCATAGCCTCTGTGTCCACCTGCACTGCTCTTCATCAGCCAAAATAAAACACAAATTCGCACACTCCACAAAATGGACGACACAGCTCTGAATCTGCCTGCTACATCAGCCAAACACAAACTGTACAAAAATAGAGATTGATAGAAAAATAGGAGATCTGACATGTTTGAGAGAATATGCAGTCTCTTGCACACACCTGTTATTTTCATGATCATTGCAAAAAACCCTAACTCTTAGCCAACTTGTCTCTTTGCCATTCAAATAGTCATGTGGTAGTCTTTATCTCTGGAATTGTTTACATTATTTCCTCATTATTTGGTGCTTTTCAATGCTAAAATGAGATACATTTTTGACAGCTGTTATCTGCCTATGCAGCCCAAATTTCTACACCTCCCAAACCTTTTCTTCTGTAAAAGAGAAGATGAAATATACATTGGCCAACATTAACTGAGTTTACATCATCTTTGAAGATTTTCAGGCTTGAAAAGCCTCTGCTGGGTCTCTGGTAATACCAGTATTATGCCTTTAACGCCACTCCATTCACAAGTTGTTTTGCTGCTACATCCCTGCATTTAATCCTACCCTCCACCCCTCTGACAAACATACAGTTTGATGTATTGCTATCTGGTCTGCAGATATTTGCAGACGTCTTTTGAATGTTTACTCTTTCTCTCTTACACATGAAAAGGAAACATATAGTTTATACAGTGCATAAAGCATATCAAAATGATTTTAAACTGTGTACAATAATGTAAAAAATTACCGTTTTATATATTTGATAAGAAGATATAAAATGAATTTGAAGTGTATTAAAACTTTCCAGTGTAATTTAAGGAAAAAGTGGTTATCCCTGTTTCAAAATGCAAACACACTGAACCTGTTTTATATATATTTGTAACTTAAAGGTACCCTGCAGAGAAAGTGACCACTAGTAGCGCTATGGAGCACTGTTTTTATGAGGGGGGCCACGTTTTGTTTGTATTGTGCAACTGTGCAGGCAGGGCGATTTCAAAGAAGAGGCCTGCAACCTAGCAATCATTGACGTATACAACACGGTTTAATATTCAAAAAATCTACTTGCACACTAAACATTTTTGTTTAGACCTCAAAAGATACACACAATGTGTAAACTAAATGTAGACATTACTTTTATTTGCTCAAAATAAAACGCCACAGGGCACCTTTAAGTAAACTCAAGTTGTAAATTTCATAATTATCCATTTTAGCGTCACAAGAACTCAATAGCATGAAGCTTAAATGCATCTTGATATAGGACTACGTGTGATGAAACCGCGTTTTTAAATTGGGAAAACGTTTACATATCCAAATACATTTCTTGTGCATTTCACCACCCACAGATTAGATCATTTCCTTTTTTGTGATAAATAGCTTTTTGTTTATTAAGCTGAGCACTAGTCCATCTAATTTTGCAGTGCAAAAAGATAGGCAGATAAGGGCAGTTTATTCTCTCTCATTTGCTCTCTTGCTGCAAAACCTCTTACATTTCTTTCTTAATGGCCATCTATTTTACTCTTATAAGCATTTTTGACCCAAGCCCCACCTCCCCCTGTCTGTACAGATGATGAGATTATGGTACTATACTTCCCCTTTGGTAATCAGGATGTGTGCTCATCCAGCAGGACTGCAGATAAGAGCAGAGTCTTCAACTAAACATTGTCAAACTAAATCAGTTGGTCCAAACCTCCCTCATTGTAAGAGAGCTTACTCAGCATACTAGGTAAACTCTCTGTTCCACAGTACATTCATTATCACCTCGAAAATGTCAATTAGACAACTCAACAGTTTCTCTACAATAAAGAATCACAAAAATATCTCTTCCCTTTAGGCTTTATCTAGGCACTTAAAATTATTCCTGTACAGAAATAAAGCATGCATTGTTTTGTTGTTTATTTTTTTTTCTCAGAATTTAGATAAAGTTGAGTATCAAAGTAAATCTTTGGATTTGTAAACAAGTATCCAAGTTCCTCATTTTGCATTGTCGGTGAAAAGGAGTCCCCTACACACACGGTGCACATGTAAAAGGTCAGAAAGTTGCAACTGTTTGACAATGAATCAATATCTTCAGCATGTCGTGTGTGTCCTCCGTTACTCTCTGTGGCTGTTTTTTTTAATGTAAATATTAAACATGTTCATCATTGGAAATGTGAGTTCCTGTGAGCCGTAACTCACAACAGACAAGAAAAAGATAATCGTATCCAGGCTGTTGGTCACTCTGAGGCCGAGTTGTGGTTTGGTCTACCAAATTGATCTTAGCTGATGAGAGAACCTTAGAACTGATGGGTCAGCCTCTCTCATTGGCATCTATCCCGGTGTGCTCAGCTCCTCCTGCGGCTGTGGCACCCTGTCCCGGGGAAAAGCCTTCCTCTGGCCCACTGCCTTGTTCCAGCTTCCTTGTCCTCATTTCCCCTCCTTGCTTTATTCTCTTCTTTTATCTGCGCCCCTTTGTTTAATTTTGCCTCCTGGTTTTCCTTCTCTTGTTTCCCTCAATTTCCCATCTCAAGGAGGAGATAAAAAGATAATCATCCATCCCTTTCAAGGAGGTATAAGTTCCACCAGTTATGCACAAGTGCATTCATGTACATTGTTTAGTTACAGGGCAACCAGGTGGCGTACATGGGGTGTTGCGAATGAGAAAGGTAATGCTGAGGAGGAGAGGGAGGACAGGGGTAGAAAGGCTGAACCTGTGCAACGTAATAGTTGCTGAAGTTTCCATCTGAGACGTAAGGAGCCGGCTGGTAGAAGCAGGTGACGTTGGCAGCGTTGGGGATGGCGTTCTGCTCAGCCATGACCCGCAATGCCAGCGAAGAGATGAGGCTGAGCGTCTGGCGCCTCTCGTGGCCCATCAGGCACACCGTGCTCTCCTGCACCACATCGTACAGAGTGGCCAGATAGTCATACTTCCTGTCCTCCAGGTCTACAAAGTGGTTCTGCAGATAGGACTCCAGCTTCCTCCTCTGCTCGCCCACGTCAGGGAAATCTATGAAAAAGCGGGAACACATGTAGCGCTGCAGCAGTTTCATCTCGCTGTCTGAAGCTGCACGGAAACCCCGCACCAGCAGGTGGCAGTACTTCAGTAAACCCCCACCTCGAATCTCCTCAGGGCTCCTCGTGCAGATGAGGCGCTTGCGCAGGTGGTCGAGGGCAGTGGGGAAGTCGCCGTAGACACTCTCCCCAAGAATTGTGGGGTGGAAAGTGGCAGCCATGGGGTGCTCGGAGCACTCGTAGAAGAGGAGAAGTGAGTCCAGGCGGATCTGGAAGGAGTCCACGCTGAACTCAAACTGCCGTCGAAGAGAGTCCACAAACTTGAGCTCCACGTTCTTGCCACGGTTGTTGGAGAGGGAGATGAGACTCCAGCGGTCTGAGTCATTGCACACCTTCACCATCTTTTGCACATAGGCCTCCTAAAAAAAAGTGAGACATTAGATCATAATCACAGACTTAGAATGATTATGAATACCTGTGATAAGTTTAATGCATCTCATGTTTGAAGCCGTTGTTGGGGTTAATACGTACATATGGGTGGATTTAACTTCTATATGCATACTCGTGAACCAGAGAACACACAGGCATATAGTTCACTATATATACTCAACAAACATACAGTATATATAAAAAGCAATTGTACTTTTGGATATTTGTTTTCTATGTTTAAGTTATATTTAAGGCCCCAGAAACATAATCAGTGCAAGTAATTGTCTACGGTGGTCCAGAATTGTGTTTTTCCCAAACACTGACATTTTGAAGAATATGTGTCAGAGTTTTCCATCACACAAAGCCCTGCTGCCTTTGCTGTGTTAACCAACTCCTCCTCTTCTCATTTCCTACTTTCACAGCTGTAATATAGTGTTAGTTCCTGCACTAGTGCATCATATATTTTTTCTTTATTCCCCTGAAAACCACATTACAGTTGGTTATCAGACACATGTACCCATGGTGATGTTTAAGAATGATTCCCCTGTGCACCTAATATATTTATATATTATATATAAATATATTATTTATTTTCTGGATAAAAATGTTAAAAACCAGCCTTAGTTTGAGCAGGGTTCAACAGACGGGCATTAATGCTATTTGCAGCAGATAAAAATCTTGATTCAGTCTGTTAGTCATGATGTTTTGCTGATCACATCTGTTGGTGGGCCATTAGTAGCCTGGGTAGTCCTCCGTATCCAGGTAACTGAGGGCCTACTTATTAATGTGGATCCGACTCCAATTGGATTAGACAGAATCCTCTTTGAATTGGAAACCAACCTTTTTACTATTTGAAGGCTTATATCTCTGCGTTGGTTGGATATATTCAGGGCAGACCTATGTCTTGTTTTTGTAAAATCGATTTACATTCAGTTTGAAGTGAATTTGCAAACAGAAAATGTGTGCATTGAGTACAAAACGAACATAACCTCAGCAGTGTGCGCTGCTAATGAAGTGTGACTGGACATAAAATAAAGACGAATATAAGGTTCTATGACATGTTTAAAAAGTTTTAGACAAAATGTAATTTCTGTTTTGAAAATCATATTATTTCTATATATTTATATTAGTATTACTTCAGGTACTACCTTTAAGGTCATTGGTGTGATCTTTTCTTTGTTCACTCCCTCGGGCAAGAAGTCTAGAAGAGAGTCCAGAACTATATCTTTCACTATCTGAAACTCCATCTCTCCTTTCAGCTCGGCGCAGAATATCAAGTCCAGATCTTTCCACCCGAGTCCGCTGTCCTCGTGCAGGACGTAGCTGGCCGCGGAGCCGTTCAGTCGCACCTCCCGGACATGTATCCGCTTCTCCTCCATGCGGCTCCGTACCACCTTGACGATATCCCGCGGCTTTACCTCCAGAGTGGGGAAGCTCCACCGGCCGTGGATGGGGATGGAGCCGGTGAGGATGGTGTCCAGCCGCTGCACTTGCTCCCAGTTGAGAACGCTGAGGTTGATGCTCTCCCCGTCCGAGCAGCTGTCGGCTGCAGCAGACTCAACACTCTCGTCCATGTTAAGAAGAGGTAGACAGAAGGATGTAAACAACAAAACTTTCCACTAACTCCTGCTGGAGTAGTGGCATCAGCTAGCGGCAACTTTCTAGAATTGACCGTTCTGAGCTGATGTCTATCAAAACAGCACGATGCTGGGCGACAGCGCGTCTCTACGCATGACGATAAGAACTAGTTGGGCGGTGTAATGCTTGTCCTACTTCTTACATAAAGTCTGCAGTCCAGACAAATTCAATTCATGAGCTTTCCAGCCGTTAGGCTTAGTCACTGTCCAGCATCTGCTGCCCCGCTGCGCGCTCCGCTCTGCTTTGCTCCGGCGCTGTCCCCAAACTTTGGAAAGCAGACATCAACTGTAAAAGCTTGAAAAGATTGTTCCTTACGGTGTCAGCTTTTCATTACGTCCCAAAAACTCACTGACGCATCCATTTCCTCCGCGAAAACGTTTCATCCACCGCAGAACTTTTACTTCTCTCCTGTTGGACTGACTATTACGCACAGATTATCGCGCGTCCCTGCTGCGTAACAGCAACTTTACGCATTGTTTTAAGACTACTTTACTCTTCCACGGCACACCTACTTTCAGAAAGTGGTGTATAGCTGCTTTTCCCCTTACATTTTGGACGTTTGTTACTCGTTCATACTGCGTGATACCACGGAGGTCCCACTCCACAGCTGCTGGAGAAGTTGTGATCAGTGTGCTTCCCGTCTGAGAAGCGTTGGGCGGATCGGTTTGATTGACAACCCACACCTACTAATAGCAGCCCCCGCTTCCCACAGCGTCTTTGCAAGCCCGGAGACTGAGGCGTGTCTGGAGAATGGGCGTTAGAAGAAAAGAGAAGGAAACAGATTGGACACTGACCCTTAACCAGAACCCTTTCCTTTCTGCTTTGAATCGACTTCTCGGCACTCCTTTAAAAAACGCCCGCAGTGAGGCAACTTATTCAGCACTTTTGCATTTTGCATTATTAATATCACATTTTTGTTATTCATTGATTGACTGATTGCTCATTGCAGTGAGAATACTCAGAGATCCGCAAAGCCTATTTTACAAGTAGATACCCAATATTTAAAAAATATTTGATGTGGTGAAGCACTGTGATGATCATGGTCAGACAATCATGAGGGATGCTCTGGCAATGACTGTCTTCCCTTTATTTTATAGTGTAAAATCACTTACTCACTAATTCACGCTGGATAACAGAAGGAAAAAACAAAAACAGAAACACTTACATCACTCTTACATTACAGAAGTTACTCAGAAAGTGAGGGAGGGAACGGACATACACCCACGCCCCCTAGGGGTTGTTTTTCACCCATATTAATTTGGCCCTGGTGTGCAGCAACCCCTTCAACATGAGGTTACTTTACAAACCTTGAAGTAAAATTGCAGGAAACTTGTGCAAGTGCATAACCTGCATGTATATCTAATGTAATATATATTGAATTAACTATTTAAAAAGATCCATATTTGGTGCATGTTTGTGGTGAACTTCTCTGACATGTAAAGTGTAAGTTGTCTGTCAGTATGTAGGGTATACGCCACATAGTCTCTGCAGGTTAGTTGTCATGGAGAATCTATCAGTGCAGAGCTTGGCGCGTATATCTGCGTCACTGCAGACGAGCCCATAAACCAGCTTACTGCAGATTACCCTGTATGTGCAGTGACACACACATTTACACACAGCCACACATATGCATGTACACTTAGACCTCTTCACAAAATGCAAGGCTTATACCAATTTAAGGAATTATTGGTGCATGCTCTGCGCAGGCTCCGATCATAAAACAGTGAAAGAAGCATGCCATAAAAAGCTATGTTTGTAATGAGAAAAGTTTTTAAGCAATGTAGCTCAAAACCACTAACAACTGTGAAACAGAGCATGTGTTCACACTTTAGTGGAGCAACTGAGCTGCACAATAACTGAACTTCCACATTTTCACATGCAGTCATTATTGTGATATCTGGATATTTGTGTGAATACATAGTGTTGCTGAAAACACTTTGTCTGCCTTGTCTTTGAGCCATAAAGGCCTAAATATCACATGCATTCCTGTGCATATACTGTGTCAAATCATCACATGATATGAGGCATTTAGTTCAAGTTTACTGCAACTAGTGTCAATGGCATTTGTATATTCAATGTGTGGGAGATGTTTTCACTTCTTGATCCTGCTTCTTTTCTAACTCTCTTCGGGTCCAGAGGAGCTACTTACAGCTTTAAGTGTGTGATAGGCAGAGGTCACATCAAGGAAAAGTGAAAGTGAGTCAGGTCAATGGAAAACTGAAACTTTATTCATGCTGACTTAAAACGTTTCATCAACATTTCCAGGTTAAAGGCAATGTAGCTCTATAGGTTGAGACACAACAGCAGGTCAGTCACACTCGGTTCTTTCCCCATTCACCAACAGACTCAATGTCAGGCTTAATGCTGGGGATACTTACCATGAAGCAGCTACTTACCTGACCTCTGACTTGTCAAGTGGATGACACCGGCTTGGTTTCCAATGTCTGACGACATCAGAGGATTGACAAGGGGATTTCAAATAGACCCCTTGTCAGGCGGCCAAACCGATAGCCACATTTGGAAAAACAAATTTATCTGTGTGTGTGTGTGTGTATGTATTTCCCCATGCGTGTATTTTGTTTATGTTATGTCAGTGTGTATACTAGAAAACTAATGTTTCTGTGGTTATGTCCCAAGTTTCTTCTTTGTGTAACTATTATTGTGTAACTTTTTGTCACTGCCTGTGTGTGAATTTTTTGTGAGTTACATCAGCCGAATGTACCAACCTGCCTCTTTACACTTAGAAATGAAACAATAAATGAAACCATTCAGACTCACTATCTGAAACTCCATCGACGACCAGCGGAACGGCCACTTGCTTTCTTGCTTGCTTGCTTTCCCCACCTTCACCCTGTGCACCCTGACTTTTGCTAATCCCCCATTCCCTCCCTACGTCCTATCCCACTCATTTATTGCTCATCCTCTTTTCTAGCCCCCTTTTTCACCATTCCTACATGCGGAAGTTTATTAAGAGATTACAGTGAGCGTGTTAGCCAAACTTGCTTTCATCATCTTCCTGCTTCCCTTTCCCACCTCACTCCCGTAACACCTCCAACTATTTTTATACTTGTTTGGATTTTCATTAGTAGAGAAAAAAAATCTGTCTTTGATTCCTTGTTGACCCATGTGAACCCAGACTTCTCTCTACGTTTTCTATTGCTGAAGACTGAGAAGTGAAAGTACAGCAGTGTATTGTTGCCATGACAGCAAAAGAAAAAAGTATTAGTGTCATGTTATTACTTTAAAAGTTTATTGTTGTAACAAGATGTTTTTTCACGTTATAACAAGATATTTCTTGGCATCATACATCTTGGCATCATGTCAGCCAACAATCGAATATTTAACCTTGCTAACCTTAGCTGACGTAAGATAACGTTACCAGTTGATTAGCGAGTTAACAGTAAAGACAAGCTAGTGTTTTTTCGTTGTGTGTGTTTATTGTTGATATGACACCAGAATGTTTAGTGAAGATGTTTTAAATACTATATGTTAAATACTAAATGTTAATTTGGCATTTCAGTACATTTTTGCACAACAGCAATAGGGGTTAACGTTCAGCTGGATTGCAGTGACACTTTACTTTAAGAGAAGAGGATAGCTGTATAGAGACAAAAATATCTTAACCATCTTCACCAGGTTGCTATAGTCTTGTAATCAAAGTGGCTGATGACATTAGCACTTTTGGTTAGCCGGAAGACGGAACCTTGTTCACTAGGTTTAGTTCAACCTGGTGTTGGCATACAGTGATGTACTGGTCAAATTCTGGTGGGCTGCTGTATTGTTGGGCTGATGGACTTAAAATATAAAAATAAAAAAATGAAATTTATAAAGTTCCTACCGGCCATCTGGCCCTGTCTCTTCACCAGCCCTCTCTGTGTGCCTCTCATTTGGGTATGTGACATCGTGCTTACGACCAACCCTGATTGGAGAACAGTCTGATCCATAATTCAGTTTCTACAGTTATCCAGCTGTGCACGCTGGCATTGGTACTCCTGATAAACATAAACATTCAACAAGTATTAGAAAATTAAGATTTTCTCGCAATTACGGGTTAAGTATGTTTTAAAATATATTTTTGAACACAACCATTTTTGTCTTCTGTACATTTCACTTACATGCCTGTGTCCTAAAAGATTATTGTCACAATATTGTCAAGAAACACATTTTTGGGGTTATTTTAAATTTGGAACCTACAATTGTTATGTATCTTGTGTATATGTGTCCAGTTCCTGTATCAGAATCAGTAGAAATAGGTTGTAAAAATAATTGTAACTGCTGGTTCATGCTGGGTGTCCCACAATAACTACTGAAGCTGTTAACTTACACTTTATCACAAGTAATTATTCATATGCAAGCAATTATAGACCTACCTGTACCTGCTACTGTGCATGGAATTTACATTCTCAGTGTCCAGCCATCTGCCCTTTGACACATATACAGTATAGTACAGATTACCACTAGTACATAGTGACTAGTGTAGCTAATGATACCCTATCAAGGCAAAGACTAACCTCAAAATAATTTTCAGTCTATTATCAATTTTAATCCTGACCTCAGCGAGACCTTTGTTGACCCCAATCAACCTTGAAGAACGCATTCAGTAGTATAAGCCCCCACTAAACTCTTCCACAGCCACTAATGAGATTCGCTGACGTGCCCTGCACTGTAAGCCATGCTGCAGCACTAGTTGCTCTGTGTGTAAGTGTGTTAATGCTCAGTTCACAATTCAGGGACGTGTATTACTCAAGCAAAATCACACACATTGTCGATATGAAAGTGTTTATAAAATGTTTCACAGTCACAAACTGCAAACAGCATAAAAAAGAGGTTTATAATTAATCTACCATTAAATAATCACACAGGGGATATTATTTGTACAAAAGCAGCCTGTGAACTGAACTCAGTATGGTATGCTTCCCCGGAGATTTATACTGTCTCTCTACTCTCCAAGTCAATCGTTCCCCATTTTTTTGCATATTGTTCTGTTCTTCCTTGGTCACAACTGAGGGCAGCAAAATGCTGTGCCAAAATAAACAGGAAGTGAATCGCTCTGTGAGCTTCCTGTATACTGTGGTTAGAGATGTCAAGATCACACTGATATTCTGTGGTGATGTCTGTCCAATATAAATGCACACATGCAGAGATGCACACGCATAAACATGCATCATTAATTGACTCCTGGCACCTCAGCTGCAGCCGTTCGTAAATAAAAAGTTGGTTAAAGAGGCTGGTAGCTGTGTAACTGGGGCTGGAAACTGGGAACACAGGGCTGAAGATTGGGAAAAGGAGGGGGCTGGGGAGAGGGACTGGAACCAGACCAGACAGGACCACAGGGAAACAATTGACAAGGAAGGCAAGGGGGAAAAAACAGGCAACAACAAGAAAACCCACAATGCATGAAGACAGACTCAAAGTGTAGACTGACAGAGTAGAAGTGGCAGGGTGGTGTTTGTAGAGGTCCTGAATATTGAGATGTGGTGCAGCTGTTGTAGCTCCAGCACACACACCTGTCTCTACTCACTCACTCACACACACACA